CCTGCTACTATGGGTCGGTGTTCATGGGTGACTTCAGAGCCGAGGACAAGTTGGGTCATTTTAATGCAAGTATCGTTACGATTGTTTGAAATCTCATCCTATTATTCATACTAAGTGTGGTGTAAAATTGAGTAATGTTAGTATGATTTAAAGCTCATATGCTAGTGGTGTAAACACCAATACTTCCCTGATGCTCAGTGTTCCCACTCCGTGCAGAGCTGGTTATGTGCTCCAGTCAGGTCACAGGTCTATGGTCACTTTGACAATCTAACAGGTAACAACACATAGCTCAGAGTTTAAAGGGTATAACTGTTGGTATAAGTGGTTTATAGTTTAAATATGCTGAATTGTGATTTTATGCACTGTTGGGCAATTGTCAATTTGATGATTTAGGTGATGTGACTTGTGCTTTTGTCAAGTAATGTCAGGCAGTCAGAGTGGTGGAAGTGAGCGTGAGGTGTTACTCTTCATGCGAGACAGTCAGAGCGCCCAGTCAAAAAATTTGTCAGAACCTTCTATTGAAGTTCCCCCTGAAGTACCCCTCTGTCCAAAATATGCTCAAAGAACCAGACATGTGCCTGCAAAAAATTAAGGCCCTAATCATGAAATTTGAGCAGGATACGAAACTGTCAGGAGGAGTCACAGTGTAGACATTTGAGAAATGTGAACAGTTGGCCTTGTGTTTATCAAACGAAGTGTTATATTACATGTAACCAGGGTAATATTCACTTGACATTTAATTAATTTCCCCAGTAATACACTCATATTTAGTTTAGTTTGTTTTTAATCGAGGCCCCTTTAAGAGTTTACGCACACACAAATGAGATTGCAGTGTGAAACAGTTACACAGAGAGAGAAAAAGTGAATAAAACTGTTAAGGAGAGAAAGTTTTGTCAACTTGTGAGCATGTAGTATATGCAAGTGGTGTGATTTTGCTTATCGGATGGCTTTATTTGCTGCTCATGTGAAGAGGCCATTTTAATTTTGGGTCAAGTAACCTTTATTGTAAAAACAGACTGTAATTAGTGCCATGTAGTAATAATAATAACAATAACAACGTGAAATCAGGTTGACAATTTGTATTAAAATGTTAACTATTTTGTGTATTCGAAACTCAGAGATGAAGACATCGCAGGATTGAAGGTACTAGCACCTGAAGCAGCTGTGCACTCTGGCATGGATTATAGCGACACAGATTCTGCATTTGAATGTGAGACAGAGACCATAGACTTGCCAGAGCCACTGGTAGTTCTGTATGATGCCAATCTGAGATGCCTCTGCCAAAAATGAATTACAATAGAAAAATTTATAAACATTTGAAAGACTGGGAAAGGAGTTAACTAATGAACAGTGTGTAAACCTTTAAGTTATGACAAGATACTTAAACACAGAACTGGAAGGATCACAAGCACAATCTCACATTGTGTGTGCACTGTAGTATCTGAGAGTGCAAAAACAAGTCTGGTCAAACAGATAATGGACAACAACAAAAAAGACCTGACCCATGTCCCAGCAGTACTTTGGGGGAATGATATGATGGACACAACGAGAAAACAGTACACCGCAATCATGAAATCAAAACATCAGGGGCCTCATGTACGAAGACTTGCGTGGAAATCTTACTAAAACATTGCGTACGCAAAAAAAAAAAAAATTCAGATGTATGAAACACTGCGTAAGCCGAATCTCACGCATACTCTTTTGTACATCCGAATGAACGTGAAACTGAGCGCAGCATGCACGAAAACAAAACCCCTTCCTGCCTCCTCCCCCGTATGAATATGCTAATGACTGTGCTAATGAAAAAACCCAACGAAAAAGCAACGGCAAAATCAAGCAAAAAGAGAAACTTTGAACAGAATGTGAATTGGAGGTGCTGCTTTCGGAGGTAGACCGGAGAAAAGCGGTGTTATTTGCAAGTTTGTTCTCCGGAATTAACAACAAAAGAAAAAAAATAGAGTGGGAGAGTTTAGCTGATGCGGTTAACACAGTTGGGTCTGAACATCGCACTGAGTGCATTAAAAAAAAAGAAATAGTCTGGTGTATATCTGTAAAATGTTGCAACACCCTAAACAGTCTCAGTGGCGCACCTCGTAAGACGCATGTGATCATGTTTTGACACGTTCGAGCATGAACTCGGCTCGAATCCAGCATCTAATGAACTCTTTCTTCTTTTTTTCCCCGCTACATATCAGATTTTGCCCACTATCACGAGAAAGACAAGTAGGAATCATTAATAAGTTTGTGCTTCATATTTTATTTGCACATTTATTGAATGGAAATGTTTCTGATTCACGCATGCAAATTCATCTTCAGATAGTGTCTTTATAGCAATGTGTGTGCAGTAGATCGCTCAGATTACATTGGGAAAACAGGCGACTGCTGCAAATTGTGCTTTAATGTTTAGCTGGTCAACTGTATGGTATGGAAACCTTATATACCTGCTAGATGAACCCGTCTCATACAGCTGCCATTGCAAGGCTCAGACACTTTGTAGAGAAGAATTTAACACAACTGCCTCTAGGAGTTGCCAATGGAAATAAAAGAGACACGCACAAAAAATGTGCGTACGCCAGCCAGAAAGCTGCCGTGAAGCTGCGCACATTCCCACGTTCAGTTCATTGTTAGTAAATCCAAACGTGAGCGATTCTGAGCGTGAAACCTGGCGTACGCAAAGTTTTTGTGCGTACGCAGCGTTGATACATGAGGCCCCAGAACTTTGCTGTGGAGCTCTGTGGTCTTGTTGTGCGGCCTGACAGTCCACACATTGGGGCATCGCTAGATGAAATGGCGAACTGTACCTGCTGTGGGAAAGCAACTGTAGAGGTTAAGCGCCCATACAAATACCGGAGTGGTCTAACAGGGAGCAGCGAAGATTCACATTTCTGCTTGGACAAGGCACAACACCTCAATAAGAGTCATAAATATTACCATCAAGTTTAGCTAAACATGTTCGTATGCAGTGTCCTGTTCTGCGATTTCTTAGTTTGGACAAAACTACACATGTGCCAGATTGAGAAGAAAGGTTACAGATTGGTGTTGTGAACTTTGTCCAAAAAAAGTCTGAATGAAATTTTATTTAAAGCAAATTATTTAATTTAGTACCACTTCTTACATTACAATAATTGAATGTTCAATTAACAGTTAAACGACAAATAATCTAGTCTTCTTATAACTCTATAAGCACTGAAACTTTGGAAAAAAAGAGGCACAAAATATGTAAAAGTCCAAAAAACTTAGCGTTTACATAGTGTATACAAAACTAACATGTGCATGATAATACAAAAGTAAATTTAAATATACAAATATTCTACATAAATATATATATATAGTCAAAATAATTTTGTATTTAGAAATGTGACAAAATATAGGAAAAATAATGGTCAAAATTTCCAACACATTTAATATGTCGCCATTTCCAAGATCCTATGAAGCAATATAAAAAAACTCAGCACTGATAATTGTAAGAATCACCATTTGTGATTGTGTGCCAATAATAAATGATCATAATAGAACAGCAAATCATCACTTCTGAAAGATTATTTGACATTGCAACCTGTAGTAATGATAATAAATTCAGCTTTGAATCACAGGAATGCATTAAATGTGAAACTACACTCAATAATAAATAGATAACTAGATAAATAATGCACTAGAAATTAGAGTCGGTTCTCTTGTTTGATCATTTCTCTATTTTTTATACCTTAGTCTTGATGCTGTTAGTGCAGGTTTGCACAGCCTCTTCTCTTCAATAATGAAAATATCACAGGAGACCCAGAGGGGGGCTACTGACCTTTATTGGGCCAGTGCATTATCTCTACGCTTGCTTGCTCTTTCATAAAATGCCTAGCCACACTTCTTTCCCTAGGGCAATATGGCTGAGTGACTGCAGTGAATTGAGTGCTTGTAGATCCATACCCTGTTTAAATAATTTATTATACTCAGACACTGGTGTGAATAGGGAGAGGAGGAATAAGCAGCAGTTAGATGAAGAAATGGCTTATATTTGTACACTGCAGTATACTAAATTACGGACTAATGTAGAAATGCTGGGAGAAAATTAAGGTAAGCTCGACAGAATAAAGCAGAATTTGCTGGGGTTTTTTTTTTAGATTGGCCTTTTGGATGCAGGATATCACCACACTGCGCTCCTTTTTTTCCTCTGTTACAGATCACCACGCATCATCATTTTTTATCTGTTTTCACTAGTGCTAGGATTATTTGCTTAATTATTGCCAACTGTTTCTTTTTTCCCGTTTACTTAAAGGTGCAGTAGATGATCTGCCAAAATGCTAACCGGTTAGCGTATTAACTTTGGACGGCAGTGGAGGGACTATTTCAAAGAAACGCCTTTTGAAATCGCAAACGCGTGAAAATTTTTTTGAATATAAGCATACCTGCATGTTTGTCAACATCAGGCTAAAGCTTTTATGCATTTTTAATAATGCAGTGTTTAAGTAAAATTGATAAGTTATCCTCACAATAAATAAGAGACGGGTATGCAGTCAGTAAACTACTGATTCATGACCATCTCAGAAAGTTATACATGTAGTAATGAGTACTGTCATCAATAAACAATCAAGGCTTTCTTTTCTGCTCAGATTTTTCTAAAAGAACAGCTCAAACCAGCCTAGGCCGGTTGGCTGGTTTTAGCTGGTTGACCAGGCTGGTTTTAGAGGGGTTTTGGCCATTTCCAGGTGGGTTTCCAGTCTTTTCCTGCCTGGTCTTAGGTGGACAGGCTGGGAGATGACCAGCTAAAACCAACTTGACCAGCCTAGCCAGGCAGGAATCCCAGCCAAAACCAGCTATGTCCAGCTTAAAACCAAAATCCCTCGAAAACCAGCCTGGTCGATCAGCTAAAACCAGCCAACCAGCCTAGGCTGATTTAAGCTGGATTTATCAGCAGGGCACTCAGCTCCTGAAAATCCTGTATATTTAAACGAGTTTGACCGAGGGTCGGCTAAAGTATTTCCAGAAAAGTGTACCATATGCATCAGACATTTAGAAAAAACAAAATACATATATTTTTGAACAGATCAATTACAACTGCCCTTTTAAATTGATTTGAAAGACAGGATAGTGACAGGATGTTAATACAAAATAACAAACATATTTTAAAAAAGTATTTCATTAATATAAATCAAAGTTGGTGTGTTTCAATCTTTCAGACACAATGCTTGACACTTCTTGTTCTACTCCCTCACCTTTCCATATATTCCTTTATATGTGGGTGCTGATGTACTTCTTTTCCCTTCCTAACCTCCCTCTGATAATTCACTGACCCTCAAACATGGCAAAAGTGATGAGAATTTGAAGCAGATGAACTCTGGTTAATGTTCAGGGAGGGGAAGGCACACACTTTGTAGGTCAGTGCTCGCAGGAGACGAGGAAGAATAAAAACCTTGCCCATGTTCACTGCATACAGTAACAGACCATCGTCTAATTACTGTTGGAACTCTCTGTTTTCCTCTGTCATCTAATCCTCCTTGAAATTGTGCCAGAGAAGGCCTCCCTAAAGATACAGGAAGAAAGAAACAAGACAAGGATTTTCAGGATCAGTGGAGGGGAAAAAAAAGATTTTGAAATATTAAACATGACAAGGTCTCGAGTTAATGAAGTGGCATGTTTTGCTTTTCTTTGTTGAAAAATATACAACTGTGAACTGTGGATAAAATCAGGGCGATATGATCAAACTTACGACTCTTTTAACCCTGTTAAAAGACGTACTGCAGCATTTTGCACCAGCTGTAGACGGGTCACAGAAGACCCACTTAACCCTATGTAAAGCGAATTACAGTAATCCAGGCGGGTAGTAACAAAGGCATGGATTAGAGTTACAAATTCTTGTCATGACAAAAACGTCTTTATTTTCCTGAGTTGTCTCAGCAGGAAAAAGATTGCCTTGACCACTGACCCATTTTGTTGTCCAACTTTTGGTCAGGATCAAGTTGAACCCCAAGATTTGTGATGGTTGGTTTGATATGCTGTGCTAGGGCACTCAAATTAACCGTGGAAGTTACAGTAGCATCCCCAAAACCCATGGCTTCTGTTTTCTTTTCATATACACTTAAAAATTAAGAGCCATCAAGGACTTTATATCATCTAGACACTGGAGCAGTGATCCAAGAGTTTCACTTTTTTTAACAGGGACATAGATCTGGGTCTCGTCAGCATACAGGTGAAAAGGCAGGCCATGCCTCCAAATTACTGACCCAAGGTGGAGTAGATAGAGGGAAAAAAAGAGGGCCTAATACTGAGCCCTTTGGGACCCCATGAGACAGGGGAACAGGGGAAGACACATGATCCCCAATGCTGATGCTAAACGTACGCCCTTCCAGATAGGACCTAAATCACTAAAGGGCCAACCCTTTAATGCACACCCATTTTTCCAGTTGGGAAATTAAACTTTTGTGATCCACAGAGTCAAAGGCGGCAGTTAAGTCCAAAAGCACAAGAATGACACACTCCCCCAGAATCAGTAGCTAAAAAATGTCATTAATAGAAAACCCAGCTCTGTACTATGCAAGGCCCTGAAGCCAGGCTGGATAATTTCGAGCATCTTCTAATTTTCCAAAAAAGTCATTAATTGATTGTGTACTTCTTTTTCAAGAACTTTTGACAGGCTTACCCACTCCGTTTCATTACATCGAGTTGTCACTAAACAGTAAACAAGACTCAGCAATGAGTGTCTCAGCCGATATATGTGTGTGTAATCAATACTTGAGCAGCATCAGCTGTGTGTTTGCAATCAGTCAGGATCAGGAACCGGTTGTGTGTGTATGGTGCATGACTGGGTCTTGTGGCCCATAAATGGTGTATTTGTTGTCCTTTACCGATATGCAGTAACTAGATTGCTGGAGCTCACAACAGAGCCCAAATTTCTGTATTTGGAGCGGCTTCCAGATGCTCCAAATACAGATCAGGAGGGAGGTGGAGCAGAGGTGGAACAGGGGGAGGGACAGAGGGCCAGGACCATGCAGCAGAGGTGTACCTGGAGCATGGAGCTGTGGAGGACCTGGAGCATGTTGCAGAAAGCATTGAGAAGTCACACGGCTCTGGCAGTCATTCGTGGGACTCAGGTGGTGGCTCTGGCCTTACGTGGGACTCGGGTGGTGGCTCTGGCCTTTCGTGGAATTCAAGAGGATCTGGCACCCCTGGCCATTCGAAGACTTCCAGAGGATCTGGTACCCCTGGCCATTTGGTGAATTCGGTAATGAAATAACAGAATAATATATAGGGATAATAGGAATAATTCTGTAATGAAAAAGAAAGAACTAATGATTTACTCAGAAACGTCAGATAATCTTATCTCTGTTGCCTCTGCAGCTGCTTGCAATGTCCTCATTGACAGCTGTCATGATTACTTGGGGACTGAAGAGAAAATGGAAAACATTGATAAGCAGAAGAAAGAAGTGGTTTGCATCTGTCAGAAATTGCTGCCAGAAAGTGGTGGCTGCCTTCCTGATATGACTGATACAGTGCATCACGATACAGTAAATTATACTCTCAGTATAATCATCCTTATCTCCTAAAATATACATTGGGCAGCAGTATGGGCTGCATCTAAAATTCTACTTATTTACAGGAAAATTGTTCAAAACATTGAACAATAACAAAAATATGTGTCACCTTTTTCTTAATGAATGTGTGTCCGATCCTCATGTTGTTTCAAAATGGAATAAGTAGACAAAATTTGGTGAAAAAAAATCTGGACTGTCCCCAATATCTTTTGGTAGACATCAACCTGCAGTCTTGACACGCTCCCCACATCATTCTTTAAAACGGTGTTTACCTGTTTAGAAATGGATCTCCAAAAAGTAGTAAATGAGGGGTTTAGAAGTCTCGCAGAGGTGATATAAGGGGTGGTTTATGGCAATATCATTTCTAAATAATGAGGGACAGGTGTTGAATGAGGGTCCGCTTCTGGAGCCAGCTGCCAGAATCTCTGAAAAGAGAAATGAGAATCAGCAATTTGGAGTAAGGCGTCCGTGGGCCCAAAGGTTATGGGTAACCCCCCACTGTAAACATCAGGCCTGCCTGTGTGCTAAGCAACCTGCGGTGAGCAGCAGGGTTGGCGCACCATAAGGCTCTAGAGCACAGGTGTCAAACTCAGTTCCAAAAGGGCCGCAGCTCTGCACAGTTTGGTTCCAGCCCTAATTAAACACACCTGATCAAACTAATTGGGTCCTTCAGGCTTGTTTGAAACCTACAGGTAAGTGTGTTGGAGCAGGGTTGGAACTAAACTGTGCAGGGCTTCGGCCCTCCAGGGATTGAGTTTGACACCCCTGCTCTAGAGCAGGGGTGGCCAACCCTGTTCCTTCGAGAGCCACCTTCCTGCAGATTTCAGTTGCTACCATTATCAAACGCACCTGAACCAATTAATTAGGACCTGAAAACCACGTGATAATTACAGGCAGGTGTGTTTGATATGGGTTTAAGAGAAGGAAATTGTTTGTCATCTAGTCTTTAACATCTTTAATACACTCAGTTAGCTTAGACTGTTCAGATAGCTCATCAAGTTTAGTTGAAATATATAATTAAGTATCATCTGCATAGCAGTGAAAGCTGATCCCATGTCTTCTAATGATGTCTCCCAGGGGTGGCATGTATATTGTAAACAGCAAAGGGCCTAAAACTGATCCTTGATGCACCCCATACTTTGCTGGGCTGACTTGTGAAGACTGTCCATTAATATTCATAAACTGGTAACGGTCAGCTAAGTATGACTTAAACCATTGTAGAGATTGTCCCTGGACACCTGTAAACTTTAAGCGATTTATGAGGATATTGTAGTCAATGGTGTCAAATGGGGCACTAAGATCCAGTAAAACTAATAGCGAGATGCACCCTTGGTCAGCAGCTAAGAGTAAATCGTTGGTTATTTTCACTAATGAGGTTTCTGTACTGTGATGAGCCCTGAAACCTGACTGAAACACTTCAAAAACATTGTTCATCAGCAGAAATGAGCATAATTGGACAGAAACAACTTTTTCTAGTATTTTAGACATAAATGCAAGATATGAAAATGGCCTATAATTAGCTAGGTTGCTGGGGTCCAGTCCAGTTATTTTCTATCAGTTTGCAGAGATGCTCAGCCCTGGCTGATTTTAGAGCCCTTCTATAGCTGGACATACTGTATTTGTACGCAATTCTAAAGAGCTCTAAATAGGTTTTTTTTCCATTTACGTTCCAGGGCACGGGTTGCTGTTTTGAGAGCGCGAGTATGACTATTATACCAAGGTGTAATAATTTCAATTTGTAAGTAAAAATGGTAAAAAAATAAAAAATAAAATACATTAATAATTTAATGTATTTTTTTTTTACAAACAAATCAATTTCTAATGATTAATAATTGTGAAATTAATACTTTTAGATTGATTTGTATATTTGATTTGATTTTACATACAATATTTGCATTATCCTGTGGATGAGGTTGTGAGTTTGAGAACCTGTCAGTGGTCCCACATGTGCAGTAGATTAATATTCTTTTTTTTTGTAATGTGTTATCTTAGATAAAAAAGGCTTTCTAATTCTACACAGAAGACTCAAACAAAGGAGAAGCGACTCATGGTCAGGAATGGCACGCGCAGTGGGACACAACCTCCTCTTCTTCCTGTCATTCAGAAACCTTTCCATCTAAAGCCCAATCAAATCTCTCCCATTAATGTGAGCTGACCCTGCAGGCATGAATATGTATGAGAGAGAATGCAAATAATCAACTTCACTGCTGTGCTCACAAGGGTTGTGAGGAAGATAATAACAAAGGAAAGGCCACTCAGAGCATCAGGAGTACAGATGCCTTCACTTCCTAGAATCAACATGGCGTATTTTGTGATTTATTCACACTAAGCTGATGCATGTGTGTTTGATCAGAATATGTCCTAACAATATATTAAATGCTGTCTCAATAAAATAATTGAACACAGAAAACTGTTAGGTTGCAAATGTATTCTGAGCTCAATTTCAAATGTTGTTTGGTGGTCAGAATTAATACTCAAATAAAATAAGTAATGAGGATGATGGCTTCATGAAATTTGATGCAGGAAATGTGCCAAGTTGTCAGAGCATACAGGGGGTGTGCTTGTAAATCATTAATCTTTGCTCTTCATGTCTGCTTGTCGGTACAGACTGGGGCCTTGTATCCTGGCAACGTGCCATGGTTTCCACATGCTGGAGGGAGAAAGAGGCCCTCAGGGAGGAACCAATCATATCTCTGCCTGAAGGTGAAACAGCAGCACGCACACACACACACACACCGATAGATGCATGCATATGAGCAAATGCACTCACTCAAGCAGAAAGAAACAACTTTGTGTGGACATATGTTACTGTGAACCGAATGCACAGAAACACACATTAAGTATTATGTTTTGTTTCCTTCTGGTCTTTGATTCCTACAACAACTTTATTGCATGGTCAGACAAACTCCGAGACACATGCTATTCAAATTTTACCACAGCTGTTTTGCTTACACCTAAACTACAGTACTTTAAACTGTATTTTGATAAATGGACATATGTAATGTATTGTAATGTGTGTTTATATAGCGCATTTATTGTGTTATTTTTGTGTTAAGCATATGTTACTTCAAGAGTTCACACTTAGCTGATAATCAATAAAGCGTATTTGGCATGCTGTCCCGGGAGAGAGCCCTGAGCTCGTAATATCCTCGAGCTCGGGGCTCCCTCCCGTTAGAAGGGCGAGAGGAAAATTCGAGGTCAGGTAGGTTTTGAGAACTCCCCTGCTTGTCACTGTTAGAAGTGTAAACTAAGGTTGTATTAGGTGATAATTTGTTTTAGTCGATTGGCTATGGTTTATGTTTTTGGATGGTGGGAGGAAACCGGGGAACCCGAGGAAAACCCACGCGAACACGGGGAGAACATGTAAACTCCACACAGAAACACCAACCGGCCCGATGGGTTGGACCGGCGGTGTTCTTGCTGTGAGGCAACAGTGCTAGCCACTGGGCCACCGTGTCGCCCAATCAGAAAAAGTGGGAGGATGTAGGGGTGGAAAGGGGGGGAGCAGGGCCGGAGTGGGACTCATTTTCAGCCCTGGAGTTTCAAGCCAGACCGGCCCACCTCAGTTCACGACTGATTTCAATTCAGTTACTAATGGCACTATGACGTCTTTTTCAAGAAAACTGCTGCTTTAGAAATTCAAATGTTCAACAGCCCTAACAGTATTTTATGTCTTAACAATAAAATCGGAAAAAAAAAAAAAAGATTTTTCATGGGAGATTCGATTACAGGTCTATACCATTTAAATGCAATGTGCTTACCACTGGCCCACATTGGCGCTATTACAGTGAGAGTAAAAAATAATTAATGACTTGCGACCCTTAAGACACAGCACTACTTTCTTTTGATGGCTCAATCTTTTTCTCCTATTTTTAGATTTCTGATCAAGTTATGTCAGATTTATTAATGTAGTGAATCATTTGATTTTCATTGAGCAGGTGTTTTATTCATTTTATTCGAATTCTTATATTCACTAAGGTGCCGCTGTTTGGGGCGATAGTTGCATTACATCATCATCATTAACGTTAGTTAACCTGCAGGCTGCATTTTTCTCACAGGGCTGCGAGAAAATAAATAAAAAGAGCGGCACTACGGTAAAATAATGATTAAAAAGAGTAAAGCTATGGTCAAAAAAATAAATAGAAGAAAAAGTGTGACTGCTGAGAGTGCAAGCAGCTAGGGACACCGGCCCTCGCGGCCAAAAAACAGACCGGCCCACCGGGAATTCTCCCGGTCCTCCCGATCAGCCAATCCGGGCCTGGGGGGGAGCTTCAAGACGAAGATAACTGGAGTGAAAAAGTCAGGTTATTTATAATGCTTCCGTAATCATCTAATAGGGTTGATTACGGAGTTAACAAGGAGCCAGACGTGTTGATTATAAGCACGTGATCCTCTAGAAATTAGTTTATGAATAAACCACACAAAGAAGGAAGTGCATATAGTAAAATAATAATAAAATCAATATTTTAAATGTGAAGGTTGCTGGTTCCCAACTGAGTCCTGACTGGGCCTGTTGACGTTTCTGTGTGGAGTTTGCATGTTCTCTCAGTGTTCGCGTGGGTTTCCTCCAGCTGTGGTGGCTTGAGAATATTTCTTTGAAGTTTCAGTTTAAAACACTAATCGGACTCAGACACTGATAAAGCTGAGAACCAGTCACAAATAACAACATTAAGACTCAACCAGGAAGTTTCCACCTGGTTATTTGGTGTAGTTGTTTTAGAGTTTATTCAGCCTTTCTGCCACAATGAGTGAGCCATGCACAAACACCATTTTTCAAGTTTGCTGTGTTTTGTAAATGAACAGCACACATTTAAAGGGCACTTATGGTAAAAAGCAGTTTGGAAAGAAACGGGCAATTTTAGGATTTTCATTTTAGGAAGGCTCAGCTCCTTATAAGGTAAAAAAAAATTATATATATATATATATATATATATATATATATATATATATATATATATATATATATATATATATATATATATATATATATATATAGAGCCTAATATTACATTTATAATTAGTAATTTAATAGTAATACACTTAAAAATGTTAGTTTAATATGGGTTGTATACTAGAATTCTACTGCATTACATAGACAGGCACAGCAGTTTGAGTTCTGAATAAGCCAATTAGGCTCAACCCACCTGTTTACTAAAAACCACTTTTCTATATTCAAGTGCATTCTTTTGTTTCCATGTATTAAATAAATAAACTGCCACTTTTCTGATTAAATTACACAAATATAAATGTATATTTTTAAACTTACAGGCTAATTCACATATTTCACGATGTGAATGATAATAATAATAAATAAGAAATATTTTTTAATACTAGACAACTTGAAGCTTCTATCTCTGTCAGTGACTCGGCGACAGTTAAAACGAGAACATTCTCTTAGTGTGTTAAATCCATTCTGTGCAAGACTGTAGGGTATAGTTATAGCCACACAAACTGTAAAGTGTTTAATATTCATACTTTCTATGATCTAGTTGAGAGAGACCTACAGCTTAGGATCACAGCATCTCACATAAAAACACACTCTGATCCAGACACCAACATAATTGATGATAAAAATGATAATATTAAACCCACAGAAACAGAAAATCTAAATAACT